TTGAATTCTTATGTACCTATGTTTTCAATTTGTAATTTCAATTTCTTCAGTGCTTCCATTAGTGCATTTGTTTTGTACTTCTCGTTGTGCTTCAACTAAGCTGAACATGGACTTACTTGAAAACACCAAAGTTGCTGTTGCAGCTGTTTGGTCTTGGTTCTGTAGCCTACGTGGTCCTTGCCATTTGCATTATAAGTGCTGCCAAATTTTGGAGGGTTGATGGTCCTGAGACATGGAATCTCACACTAGTTCTCTTGCACAACCTAGATTCAAATTTAGTCAATCAGGGATTGCGTTAGGATTGTTTGGTCATTTTTGCAATTTTTTTATTTTTATTATTTGGCCTTTTTAAAAAGTTCTAAATTTGGTTGGGAGTGATGCATTTTTGCAATTTTTGTATTCTGCTTTTCTTCTTCATTTGATTTGTGTAGGTTAATAAATCTCCATCTTGGCCAGCTTTGGGTCCATCTGGTTGACCAGGGCTAGCTTTGATGATTTCTTCTTTTACTCGTTTTTCTTTTGGCAGCTACCATGTTACAGTTTACAGTGCTTTGAATTCTTATCTTCTCTTTCCATCTTAACTGTGTTTGGATTTTGCAGTTTGAAATATCAACTCAACCCTCTCTCCCCACCCCCTTCAAATCTGTCTTGCTTTTGTTTTGCTTCCCTCCCCTTTTCTGTCATAGTGTGTACTCAATGTAGCCTATAATTAGTCTGAAGCAGACGCACAATCTAATTTTTCGTGAACACAAACAGAATGTCATCTTAGCCATTGTCATGAGGCATTTGATGAATTTTCCCGTCCAAGGATGATAGCACCACCTTTGCCGGTTCTCTTCAAGGCTTGGCCATCATGATTCTATCTGACCTACTATACTTTGCCTTGCAATTCTTTTTGGTGAATGAGCAATCGAAAGATGAGCAATTGTCCTGCTTGTGTCCCACGTGGCAAAGCCAAGTTGAGAGATATGTGTAGCTCATCAGACACCCGATCTTGAGAAATTTGGTCAATGTTACCCTTTTCCTATTATTGCAGTGACCTCTGAGTCCCTGGCCCTTTATACCTTTGAAAATCCTTTTCTCGTCCCGCATTATGGTATCATTTAGCCCAACTTTGCTGTCAGTTATTTTCTCATATCTGATTGTTGCCAATTGCAGTTGTTACTTTCTTATTGGCTTGTAGGGAAATATGGCACAATAATTCTTGATTCTTCTATTAATCTACTGTCAAATTATGGATTGATCAAGGAAGTTCAATTCAAAAAGACTTTGTATCAGTGGCAAGTTAAAAAGAATTTCTTTTACATCCTCATGAGCTCATATTCTGGTTGTTAATGGTAGCCCTAGGTGCCAGAAAGATGCAAGCACAGCAAAATTCAACCTAGGAAGTTTAGCTTAGGGCTGGGTGAGGTACCTTAAATAAAGTGCAACTATGAGGTTCTAGCAGTTCAAGGATGGCTCACCTTACTAAATTGCTTATGACTTCTATTTTACTGGTTACCAGTTCTCAACCATTTATTCTTGCATGAACCATTAATATTAACCTTGTACATGACATTTCAGAGATGAGCAACACACCTGATTGTGTTTCCCTCTTCTAAATTCTTTGATCTGATTATTAACTTAGGCTGCAGCTGAAAGAATCTGAACATAAACATTCAGTTAATGCCATTACTATGTAATTCTTCTTCTTTTTCGTTTTTCTTAACCATCTTTCTGCATGAAGGTTGGACCTGGATCAGTCTTGCGTGGTCCCTTGGAAAATGCTTCTGCTGATGCAGTGTAAGTTTGGATTCCCTGTTTTTCAGTTTCTATCATTTTCTGTTGTTTGATTTTTCTGAGTATTGGTATTTGGTGCATGATAGGACACCGAAGTTGAATTGTGAACGTCAGGATTGTCCCATCGAACTGCTTCATCCCCCCGAAGATTGCAATGTGAACACTTCACTGTCCTTCACTCTACAGGTGGTTATTAGCTATAAGATAGATTGCATAGTGGTAGGTACGGAAAGTTTTTCCCATTAGGTTAATTAGCTTTTTTATTCATTTCCTTCTTCAGATCTGCCGAGTTGAAGATATCCTTGTTGAAGGACTTATAGAAGGATCTGTTATTCATTTCCATAGGGCGAGGACTATATCTGTGCCGTCTTCTGGAACAATTAGCACTTCAGGGATGGGTATGCTTTCAATTTCCTTCTCTTTGTGTTTCTAACAGATAATGATAAGTTGATCAGTTATGCTACTTTGAGTTTCTTTATCTATTTATCTTTCTACGAAATCTTGGATGATTTGGGAAGTTTTCTCATCCATGTACCTTCTTGAAGGGGAAAATCTTTTTAGGGAACATGCTTCAATAGCATAGGTGAACCATATTCTTAACAATATTATCGATTCATTATGGTGCTTGTACAGGCTGCACTGGAGGTGTGGGTCAAGGAAAAATTCTAAGCGATGGTCCTGGTAGTGGTGGTGGGCATGGCGGTAAAGGTGGAATTGCTTGTTATAATGGCAGCTGCATCGAGGGTGGTATATCATATGGTGATTCGGATTTGCCTTGTGAACTGGGTAGTGGAAGTGGAAATGACAGTTTGGCTAGTTCATCTACTGGTGGTGGTATTTTAGGTAAACTTAAATTGGTCAGTGTAACACTTTTCGTAACTTTAAATGTGCTAACACAAGAAGATGTAGTTTATATTATGAAACAAACATTCTGTTGTGAAGGAAAAACTTAGGACTTAGGAGCATGAAATATAATTGTCATTAGGGTAGTTTTGCTGGAAACCATCTTTTGTATTCTAAAGCCTAACAGTTCATTTTATTTACTTTCTATTGAGTTCAAGTTGGGTTGTAGTAGCATGGGGGTAGGATATTTCTGAATGTTCATTCTCTTTGATAAAGTAAGATGTATTCTAAAGCCTAACAGTTCATTTTATTTACTTTTTATTGAGTTCAAGTTGGGTTGTAGTAGCATGTGGGTAGGATATTTCTGAATTTCATTCTCTTTGATAAAGTAAGAAAGTTTATGGAAAACATTGGCAAAAAAGAAAGTTTATGTAAAAGATTGGCAAAACTTGCATGGAGAAACATCTGATGAGAAAGATGAGTAGAATAATAAGGTATTGTTTCCATTGTTGTGAAGTAATTGGACATTAGGTTTTGAAATTTAAGCCATTTTTTAGAGGATTAAAGACATTTGAATGGGAACTCATTATTCACAAATGTGTACTAAGCTATCCCATGCATCGTAACTAAATCATGTTTGGAGGGCAAAACTATGTGTTGATAATTATGTCGTTTTGTCATAAGGTGCTCGAAGACACTTACAATTTCTGATACCAAACATGATGTGGTAGGAAGATGAAGAATTCATTCTAGCAGTATATATAATGGATCTTCTATTGCTTCGAGGTGTTATTCTTCTCATCACTCAGTTTCTTGAGATTTTGGGTCCCTTAGGCATCTTGATGGTAGAGATATTACAGAATTGGTGTCACTTCCCTTTTTGATTAATGACTTTAGTTTGTGTCAATGGTCAATTTATAAAAGAAAGTGGACTCTTCAGTCTTCGGGGGGTTTTTATGTAAATCTTTATTCGATAAACTGATTGATGATCCCGTATGTTCCTATTTTCCGTTTCTGTGATGATTTGGATGACTAAAGTTCCCATAAGGTGCAAGTTTGTGTATCAACTGGTCCAGGACTCCAAACTATTTCAATTGGTAGGTTTGAGCTGGTTGATTCTTGGGAATTTTTTGTCCTATGTTTGTAGATGTATTCCAGGGTTTGGAAATCATAAGAAATGGGTGACCTTTGGAATTCTGTAATTTTAGCCAAGATATGGGTCATTTGGTTGAAGAGGAACTCTAGAATATCTAAAGATAGAGGTTAGTGGAAGGAAGACTTATGGGATGTGATCTATTTTTTGGCTTCATTGTGGACTTCAACTTCTAAGGATTTTGGTGGCATTCCATTTTTTTTTATATTTTGGTGGATTGGAGGATTTCGTGTTTCATGGTTATCATGTATTGAGTTTTTCTCCATTTCTTTGTCGGTTGTGTTGTCCATCCCTTGTTTTCTCGGACGTGCTATTTTCAAATTAGTAAAATTGTTTTCGTTCCTAACAAAAAAAAAAAAAACAATTACTGCATTATTCTCCACCAAAGTAATGGAAGATCAATGGATGTCTAATTTCACGTCAGTTGTTCTTTCTTGCTGATCATGCCAGTCAAATTCAAGTCAATTGAACATAAATGGACATGTGATTGACCTACTTAGAATTCCTAGCGAATGATAATTACAATTAGGAGCACTTTATCTATGGACATGGAAATTAGAAGTTTTTGGGGAGAGTAAGAATAAGAAGTCTTTAAGAATGTAATAAAACGTATATGCTATTGGATTTAATTGGACATGCATATGTGTGTACATGTGCATATATATATTTGCAATTTGTTCCTGAGTTGGTGATGAAAATAATTTCTGCTCACATCAATTGAGGTTGTGATTGTCCTTAAAACTTTCATACTTGAAGTTTTGTGTGCTAGTATTTCTAACATTGTTGGAGTTGGGATTGGGAGTTACTTTTTTGATCTTATTGCATTTTTTTTTCTTACCTCACAGTAATGGGTTCACAGATGCATCCCCTGTCAAGTTTATTTGTTGAAGGTTCAGTTAGAGCTGATGGAGAAAATTCCCAGAAGAATGATTATGGAATTGTGGATGATCAGAACGGAGGTCCTGGAGGCGGATCTGGTGGAACTATTCTTTTGTTTTTGAGTGCTCTGGTTCTTGCTGAGACTGGCCTTCTTTCCAGTGCTGGTGGTCTTGGTTGTTCCAATGGTTGTGGTGGAGGAGGTGGTGGAAGGATTCACTTTCATTGGTCAGACATTCCCACCGGAGACGTATACCAGCCAATAGCTAGTGTGAATGGAAGCATAAATACTGGGTTTGTACATATTTTTCTCCTCTGTTTTCCCCTTTGATCTTTGTGAAACCTATGTCGTCTCTTTCTGCAAGGCATTAGTTAATTTCAGGTTTCTTTATATCTCGTGGATCTTGTATTTGTGCAAAGTGCTGGTTGCTTCATTCTGGATTTTTTCATTTTACTAAATTTTCCTCTCGTAATGGTTGGATGAAGTATTTAACCACTATTTTTACCAATGATGACAGGTTTAATGGTTAATGAAAGTGTCTTACATAAAGAATGAACATTGTAAATGCGATCATAAGGGAAAAAGATGACGTCGTGTGAACAAATTTTGATCCCAATAGTGAATTATTTAACCCCACTAGGTTGCTGTTGTTTGTTTGATAGACTTAGAGCTTGTTTGGTATGTCTCTATTTTTGTTTTATATATAAAAAAAATCTAAACAAAATTTAAAAACATTGTTTGATAGTATTTCTTGTTTCAAATAACCATGTATGTTTTAAAAAAAAAGGAAACAACATTTTATTGCTTTTTTAATCACAAAAACTCAGAAAAAAGGGTCTCTCTCTCTCTCTCTCGCGCGCGCGCGTTCAAATATTTTTTAACATCAACAGTGCCATGCACAAAAAAATTGTTACACAGCGATGCTAACTTTGGTCTTGTCCACTTCTAGAGACTACAAATCGAAATTCAGGTTTGCATTTTGCTAGTTGAAATTGCTTTTTGATGTTTCTGTGCTGAAGTTGTGCTGGGAGGGAAAGGAGATATGGCATGGATGGCGGTAAATAGAACTTGCGGGACTTGGCATGGGGTATATGCAATTGAGATGGGAAGGCAAAAGTGGTGGCGGATATTCATTTTTATGTTGTAACAATGGTTTGCACGATCATGTTGGTTGGTGTGTCATGGCCTGTAACTTGTTTGGTTTGTAACTATTCTTACATAGAAAAAAATCATATATCAAAAGGATTTAGGTTTATATTTCCTACTTTGCTAAAAAATCATTGCCAAACATGTTTTTTTGTTTGAAAATTTTAAAAACAAACTCAAAACAAAACAATTGATAATTAAACACAACAAAAACAAAACAAAACGTTACCAAACGCCACCTTAGTAAATACTAAGAGTATTCACAATATTTGGCCTGGATTTTGTTGAAGTTTCAACTTTATTTTTGTCCCTTTCCATTCATTATGGTGCTTGTTAGATTTCCTCTATGGCACACTATATTAAGGCAAACAATTTTTTATCATCTGATAGTTTGTTTTATTTATTAAAGACTTCGAAAGTTTTCAGGGAAAAAAAAGGTTGTTGCACTCTTCTTATATTTATCTCCTGCATTCCATTCCTAGGTTTTTTTTTTTTTTTTTTGGGTTTTATAACATGACCCTGAATGTGTATGTACTCAATGTGGCATAAATAATTCTTTCATGGCTAGTGACTCTGTCAGTCCTTCAAAACATTTCAGGCCTAATTATACCTATTACTGTATCAATCTTTTGGAATGCTGATTCCTAGAGGATCTAACTTATAAGACAACTAATGCTTCCACTCTACATTATCAAGTTTTCTGCAAATTCAAATTTGTTTTCTTCAGATAAATTTTTTTTCCTATAATGCCCAATGTGGCAGAGCAAAGAAGCAGCCATACATACGGAACAGGGGTTAAAACGGAAGTAAAATTCCCCCTTCAGATAGGTGGAACTTAGCAAAATTAGCGGGTTGTGTGAGAGGTTTTGCATTCAATGGACGATGCTCCATTTACCACCTTCCAAACATTCATGTTGGTTTTTTTTTCCGGCTTTTGGTTGTCTTTTAACCATTTATGCAAGCAGTCTTAAGTGTCACCAGACTCTTGCCATTCTTGCAGAACTGGAGTGCACAACTTTGCTAAACCCAAGTCTACTAGTTAAGCACATGTACTTTGCTGTTGGTTAGGAGAAAAAAAACCTCATGCAGAGCTTTGGATCATTGTACTTCCAGTTGCCAGAATGGTGCCAATACCATCTCTTTTTTCATGACAAGTTGAAGGGTTCAACTGAGAAGACTAATTAGAGCTCTATGTCATCTCACTGTCCACCTCCCTTTGAAGAATATAAATTTCACCAATTCTCTCAAGTGTCTACATTTAGGGCAATCCCATTCTGACTCTGCTGTTCCTTAGAACACATTGCTGAAACATATCCCCATTTCAGTGGCCATCGTGAATTTTATACTTTGGTGAACTTTTCATCATTACAGGTTTTGAAAAGGTGTCCATGCAGTTTGATGGGTTGAAGATATGTTTCTGCGTGCAAGTTGAACTTGTCCAAGCTTTTTTGGGCATCATTTTGGATGTGTTTTTCTCTTTATTCATGGTGTTGGGTGCGGTTGGGCAGTGATAGGAAGAATCCAATGAAGTTTCTCTGTTTTATGACTAGGAAGTCATCAAAAAACCACTAGGTGAGACGGAGGTGTATTTACATCCTTAGAAGGATGGTTTGGGATTGTTTAATTTGATCTTAATGAACAGGGCCCTGACTGAACACTGCTTACAGATAACCATACAGGAAATTGGACTGGTATTCTTTCATCAAAAGTAGGTTAAGTTATCACGATTATAATCAGGTTGTTAATGTTGCCATTCCTACAACTCCTTATCAGGAGTAGGATTATAGTTGGGCTGCTTACATGACCATTCCAACTACTCATTTTGTTAATCACTTCACAGGAGGTGGTTGTGCTTTTCATTTAATGCAAGAGAGGCATTGTTGTCAATGGATCTAGAATTTGTTTTCGGGAAGACATGGAGATATTATCCTTTCAACATTTGTTAGATTTGTTGTCACAAGACGTGTGCTCATGCGCTTGGATACCTATGTGGCAAATGTATGTAGGTCATAAACACATGAGAAAAGAAGAAACAAAAATTGACTGCAAATACTTTAACCTTAAAGATGTCATATTGATTCGTTTATTATTTTTAGCTGAGCTATTTTTCCCAAAAGCTATTGTAAAATTTGGTTATCCAATGTAGTGAAATAGTGTGATTGAACTTCAATTGTAGACAACATTGAGCGCAAGTTTAGTTTTTTGGGACTTGGGGCTTACAATTTAAGATTAAAAAAAAAGAAAAGAAAAGTAAAACTCAGAAACCTTGTTATTAGTCCCTTGTCTTCCTTGAACTTGCTATACTTTTGTTATTTATATTTTTGTTCTTGCATGCCTACTTATTTTTTATGCGAGTGTATGTGTACTTTATTATTAGTCTGAGTTTGCAAATCAAATAAAAGCATGCTACATATATAAATGCAATATGAAGTGACATATAAACCTAATATTTTAATGAATGTCTTTTTTGCTGATTGTTTCATGATCTTCCACATAGATGTCATTGCAGGTGCTAGGAAATCATCTAACCACCTAATGAAAATTATATCTAGTCATGGCCAAGTGAAAAGCTATGAAACTCAGTTCCATTTGTTGATGATGGCCTACATATTGGTATTGGAAATTAGCACTAGCTCGTACTTAAGTAGAAATCTTCCACTAGCCCCACCAAACAATTTTACGGAGGGGTGCACAGTTGAAGTCACCGTTGGGTTGTCCGAAAAGGTGCAACTCCTGCCAAAGTGGAGTGATGGGAGGGCTAGACCGCCTAGACAAGATACCAATCTAACTTTTCCAAAAAGTTGTTCCTCTCATACTTGAATTATATTCCCTCACTTGACAAGTTGAGCATTTGATCACTGCACTAAGCAATGAATCACATATATGCATTATGTAACAAATAGAAAATATATATCAGAATTAGAGCTCCTTTGGTCACTCGTCCCAATAATGCAGATTTGACTATATGGCAAGTTTAGTGCCTCTGATGCTTTCCAAAAGACCTTTTCTGCACTTTTTAAGTTGCTTTCTGAAAGACCTTTTCTGCCTTTTTTAAGTGAGTTCTTCTGAAGAACAGGCACATAACATATCTTGTTCTCATATAATGTTTCATTTGCTAATACTTAAGTTCTAGCTTATGTGTTGGTTATGCTTTTTCAGTGACAATTGGTGGTTTTCTGTTGTTACTGTAGGGGTGGACTGGGTGGAAACCCTGGTGAAGCTGGGGAAAAAGGGACAGTGACGGGAAGAGCTTGCCCAAAAGGCCTTTATGGAACCTTCTGTGAGGTACATTTACAATTTACTACATGGTGATTTTCTTTTGAGTTGTTAAATTTTCTTTTGGTTTTCAATAGTTTTGTTCAGATATAATACATATGCAACTTATCAACTATAAGCCACTTTCAACTGCTCGATTTCTAGGATTTCTATGGTTCAGAAATTGCGACTAAATTTTCCTGACTAAAATGTATCTTTTTGGTTTTTCATGCAACCTAGGCCATTTATATTCACACAAAACCTAGGCTGCTTTTTTCTTTTTTTGAATGTAGAATTTAAGGATTTATGGAACCTTGAAATCTTTAAATATTCATTTTTTCCAGAAATCAGTTATTGTACTGGTATTTTGACTTTTGTCCTTCAAAGAAATAAAATTTGTCAGTTGTGGGCTGTGGCAGCACTGCCATTAGGCAATCTATTTCCAGCTCAATCCATTCTGGTAAAAGGTGTTTCATATGGCTTACATTTCTGCAGGAATGTCCAACTGGCACCTATAAAAATGTCACGGGATCTGATATAGCCCTTTGTTTTCCATGCCCAGTTGATGAGCTTCCCCAACGTGGCATTTACATTGCCGTCCGAGGTATTGGTGCGCATGATCTCTTACATGTTATGTGAGATATGAATCTTCATCTAATGCAATGTTGCACCTAGAGGTGTTGCTGTTACTGTGGATCTCTGCCTTGTGCTTGTCGTCCTGAGGGCACTCTTTTTTTTATTATTAGTGGCACATGCTTTTCTTTTTTAAACTGCAAGAATGAAAATTGATAGTTTAAGGAACACTAGAAAGCACCAGGAGGTGAGTAAAGGAGGTGTGCTATTCCTTCACTCAATCCACCCCCCTGCCATTTTGGTTATAGTTCAGTGATTTATAAAATGATGTGCATTTGAAAGGTGTTTGCTAATTATTTTTAAAGATTCTTTAAATTGTCACCTTGTTCTTATAACAGGTGGTATTACTGAAGCACCTTGTCCTTACAAATGCATTTCGGATAGTTATCACATGCCACATTGCTATACAGCTCTCGAGGAGTTGATATACACATTTGGTGGGCCTTGGTTGTTTGGTCTTCTTCTTTTGGGTCTCCTCATCTTGTTAGCTTTGGTGCTTAGTGTTGCACGAATGAAGTTTGTTGGCGTCGATGAATCACCGGGCCCTGCTCCCACACAGCACAGCTCTCAAATTGCTCACTCATTTCCTTTCCTGGAATCACTGAATGAGGTGTCTCTTTGAATAAACCATATTCCTTCAATATATGGGATGCCAATTAGTCAATTAAAGAAAATATGCTATTCATCTTTTTTTGTTGGCCTTTTCTGTTTCCTTTTTATTTAAACAAAAATACTGAAAGGTGAACTTACCTTCACATTTTCAGGTTTTAGAAACAAACAGAGTTGAAGAATCACAGAGTCACGTACATAGAATGTATTTTATGGGTTCAAATACATTCAGAGAACCTTGGCATCTTCCTCATACACCTCCAGAACAAGTAAAGGGGATTGTGTAAGTTTTTTATTTTTCCTTTTAATTGTTTATTTTTTATTGCTTTCTCAAGGGTGATTAGTCATCTTCAGCAGTTGCATTTTTTGTTTTATGCATGAATTTTTTGTTTTGGAGGGTGGAGAGGGAGTCATTTGATTTTTTTTTTTCTCTTGGTAATCACTCTTCATAAATTGTGGTTTAATTCTTTCAATGATTGCAAACTATTTGGGTAGATATGAGGGCGCATTCAATAGATTTGTGGATGAGATTAATGCTATAGCCGCCTTCCAGTGGTGGGAGGGATCAGTGTTCAGCATTCTATGTGTTCTTACATATCCTCTTGCATGGTCATGGCAACAATGGCGTCGGAGAATGAAGTTACAGCGACTTCGTGAATTTGTCAGGTCAGAGTATGATCATGCTTGCTTACGGTCTTGTCGCTCACGTGCTCTGTATGAAGGGCTGAAGGTTAGTTTATATAGAAGTTTGGGAAAATGTGGTATGTGTGAGATAAAAGTAGTTCAAATGTTGCAATCCGATCATATATTTCATTATACATATCATATGTTTATGTAGCTAGTGATTTGTTCCATCTCCATATGAAGTTATGAACTGTCGATAATTTAGGAATTCAGGTTCATGGGCAATCGATACACATTGTAAGTTCTTTGTTATTCATTATATAGTGGAGCTTCATGAGTTTAACCATTGCTGCATAACCTAATTGGAAGTTACTTTTTTGTCATAGTTATTTTCCATTAAGTGCTTTGGCACTCCCAAAAGCACACATCTTAATTAATGAAGAAATAATGGAAAGAAAAACAAGAAAAAATGCAACACAGATAAACTTAATGTTTTGTTCAGGAGGACTATTGGAAGCATTTTTGGTCATGTGAGGACAACTACTTTACTGTTCTTGGTGCTTTAGTGCATAGCCAGTGAAAAATGGAAATATAAAGTATACTCTTTACTTATCTTTTGCATCTAATTTAGAGTTCTTGTTTTGTTTTCGAATTTGCAAGATATCTGGCCTATTTTTGCTGCTGCACATATGGTTTTTTGTTCTATCCATATCGGGTAATTATATGCCATGCATAGTGAAATTGAATTGGCAAGCATTGTTTTGGTGAGCATGCTTGAATTGAATTGGAAATTGATTTCTTCTTTCTCTTTTTGGTTCCTTTTGTTGTCTCCCCGCCTTTTTCAATTGTGTAATACGCATTTGTCTAGAAGAGCTACGTGTTATTTGCATATATGTTATGCTCTCGGCCCAAGGAAATTCAGAAACTTTTCAAGCTTATCATTATTGGTCTGTACTCCCATAGGTAGCTGCAACATCTGATCTAATGTTGGCATATGTGGACTTTTTTCTTGGCGGGGATGAAAAGAGATCTGATCTTCCTCCTCGTCTTCATGAAAGATTTCCGATGTCTTTATTGTTTGGAGGTGATGGAACTTACATGGCTCCTTTTTCTCTTCACAATGACAATATTATCACGAGTCTTATGAGTCAGGTTTGTAACTTGAGACTGAGGCACTTACCATTTAGTTTATTGAACTGGGAGACTTTTTGTCTAAGCAAACCGTGATGTACTATCGAAGTTACTAGCTGTTTTCCTTTCTTTCAGTCTGTCCCACCTACAACCTGGTATCGGTTTGTGGCTGGTTTGAACGCACAATTGCGCTTGGTATGCCGGGGTTGTCTCAGAGCCATGTTTCGCCCTGTCCTTAGATGGCTTGAAACTTTTGCCAATCCTGCTTTGAGGATCTATGGAGTACATGTTGATCTAGCCTGGTTTCAAGCTACAGCTGGTGGTTATTGTCAATATGGACTCTTGGTATATGCTATTGAAGAAGAAAGTGAGAGTATATTGTTCGAAAATACTGATGGAATGACTCGAAGTGAGCTACATTCACGGTAATTATCTGTCTATATGTATTCTCACAGGTGGAAAACTTGAATTAACTTATGTGCACACACATGCATACGTGGTAAATAGGTGTCCACTGAAGCATCCTTAATAATAAGAAAAATAAAACATTATGTTTTTGTTCCATGCTTTGTTGGTCTGTTGATTGGATCTAAATAAGACAGGTTATTTGAGTAACCTCCGAATCCTTGCACTTTCTTTCCGCCTCTCTCAAAAAACTTGAGTAAAGAATATATGCTGAAATAGAAAACCCAGATGTCTATATATAGGTTACGATAGAAACTCTAAGGAGAAATAAGGACCGGACTCTTAATGGGCTTAGGAGTCTTATGTTCAATTCGGAACAAACATCCTACAACTCATTAATAATAAGTTAGTCCACTAAAGACTTATTAATGATCTCTTAAGCCTTATCTCAAAATTATATTCGAGTTCCTTATTATTATATGCTTAATAATCTTCCTACATTTAATATTACTGATGACAATTTTATTTAATTAACTTCTTTTATTCCTTGAGACCTTACCAGTCAACTTATTTGTCATGTCGAATAATTAAATTCCCCTGCAGGGTTTGACATGGAAAAAACTTATGAGTTTCCTCAAGAAAACATTATCAACCCATTTAAATACTAGGATGTGGTTTCCTTTAATAATTAATTTCTATCATATAAATAACATCGTCTCGCAATTCATTGAGCTTATTGACCCAATAAGAATCTCATTCTTTGATGAATTAAAGTGACAAACATTATATGCACGTGATAATTAAATATTTAGGGATTAAGAGTATAAGCAATCATAATCATCATGAGGTATTTATTATTTTATTAAATCAATAAAAGATAATAACCTCAATATGGGTCTGTTCAATACACAAAATGCACTAGTGTAATAATTCGAGACATCAAACAATCTCTTATAGTCAAGACAGACTATGTCAGAATATAACTACAATCATACCGATGGCGTGTCCAATTCCATCTACGATTGTGAACATATACTCATACTAAACAAGAATATGATAATCTGGTTTTTTGTGCATAAGCTGAACTCTAAACACCAGATTATTTACAATGTAAACTATAAAACACACATGCATATCATATATAAAATATAATACAAATATTTTGCCTATATAGATTCTCAATAAAATAGAAAGAATAAACTTTCATTACTTAATAAAATAAGTTTCACTAAAAAAAGAAAATTTTTAGTATACTGCTCTATCAAATCTCCCACTTATACTCAAAGTCATGCTATTATACATCTGACTCCCATTTCCTCCACATGGCTATTAAAAGTCTTTGCTGGTAAGTTCTTTGTAAAGGGATTTGTCTGATGATGCAATCTTGGTCACCATTACATTACCTTTTTCCACAATATCTCGTATAAGGTGATATTTGCGCTCAATGTGCTTCCCTTTCTTATGGGTTCGTGGTTCTTTCAAGTTAGCGACCGCTTCGTTGTTGTCACAATAAAGTGTAATAGCCGATTTTATCGAGGGTACCATTAGAAAATTTCTAAGCCAAACTGCCTCTTTGGCTGCTTCAGAAACCGCCACGTACTCGGCCTGCATGGTGGAATCAGCAATACAAGATTGCTCGATACTCCTCTAACCTATGGCTCCACCTCTTTAGAGTAAACACATATTCTGAAGTTGACTTTCTAGAATCCCTATCTGACTGAAAATTAGAGTCCGTGTACCCGATGGGCAAAGTTGTTAGTATCGTACGATACGCGATACGTATCGTACGATACGTTACGATACAGCCCTAAAACGATACGGATCGTAGTTATGTATCGTTTTTGCGTTGTATCGTCCGATACACGATACGTTTTTACGATACGATACGTATCGGTACGAAACGCACGATACGTCCATTTTTTATTTTTTATTTTTATTTTTTTATTTTTTAAAACGACGTCGTTTTGTGCTCTGAATTTTTTTTTTTCAATTCCCTATAACCACTGAAACGACGTCGTTTCAGTGGTTAGGGTTACAAAAAAAAAATTCAGACATTTCTCACATATATCAGACATTCAGACATTTCAGCCATCGACCGACGTCTGGTTTCTCTCAGCCATCGACCGACGTCTGTCGTTTCTCTTCAGCCATCGACCGACGTCTGTGGGTGGGTGATGATCGACTGTGGGTGGTCTTCGACTTATAGGTGGTGATCGCTGTGGGTGGTCTTCGATTGTGTGGGTGGTCTATCGACGACGTCTGTGGTTTCTCTTCAGCCATCGACTGTGGGTGGGTGATGATCGACTGTGGGTGGTGAACGTTGTAGGTGGTGATCGCTGTGGGTGGTCTTCGACTGTGTGGGTGGTCTTCGACTGTGATCGACTGTGTGGATGGTCTCTGACTGTGTGGGTGGTCTTCGACTGTGGGTGGTCTTCGAGTCTGGGTGGTGATCGATTGTGGGTGGTCTTCAACTGTGGGTGATTGCCGGTCTTCGTCTGTGGGTGATTGCTTGTCTCCGACTGTGGGTGTTGATCGCTGCCTTCTTCCTTCTCCAGGTACTCCTTTTTCTTCTTCTTCCCAGTCTCCATTGATCGTTGGTCCTGTGCAGTATGTAATGATATTAATTTATTTACAAAGCCAAATGTATATAAATTTTTTTGTATAAAAATTTCTGAATCTTGATTAATTTTAATTTTGTGCAACAGTGGCATCACCTGCATCCAATTTTCATATAGAAATGACTAAAAAACTTGCTAATGATCCCACATGGGAACATTGTGACAAAGTAGAAGGATCAAGGTTGAAATTGAAATGCATTCATTGTGCAAATGTCTATTGGGGAGGCATTTCAAGAATGAAAAATCATTTGGCAAGTAATCGCAAAGATGTAGCAGCGTGTAAGCATTGCCCTGAGGAAGTAACTGAATTTTTTAAGCAATTATTGGATGATAGGGCAATTAGCAAAGATATGAGTCTTGTGGATTCGAAAAGTAGTGGCAGTGTGGGTAGTACTACTGCTGATAAAATACAGCCAACCACCACAATTACTTTGAATACTATGTTGAAGAAAAAGGGTAGGGAAGATGTATGCTTGGATATTTGTAGATGTTTTTATGCTAATGCCCTTCTTTTTAATTTGGTAAAGGATCCATATTTTGTAAGAATGTTAGAATCTGTTGCATCGTTTGGTAAGGGATTGAAACCTCCATCGTATCATGAGGTGAGATGTTCTTTTTTGAAAAAAGAAACAAATTTGATTAATGGTGGGTTGATGGAAAATTATAAAGCAGAGTGGAGAAGGACGGGTTGTACTCTTATGTCTGATGGATGGACTGATGGGAAACATCGCTCTATCACTAATTTTTTAGTGAATAGTCCTAGAGGAAGTGTGTTTCTTAAAAGTATTGATACTTCAGGTATTTGTAAGAATGCGGATAATCTTTTTGAGCTTTTAGATTTAATGGTAGAAGAGATTGGTGAGGATAATGTTGTTCAGGTTGTAACTGATAGTGCATCGGCTTATGTAAAAGCTGGGGAGTTGTTAATGGCAAAGAAGAAAAAGTTGTTTTGGTCTCCTTGCGGTGCACATTGTCTAGATCTCATTTTGACGGATATTGGGGACCTTCCTCTGCACAAGGATATAATGTCAAAGGCAAGGAAAATCACAGTTTACATTTATAGACATTCTTGGGTGTTAAATCTTATGAGAAAGTATACAAAGAAAAGGGATTTGGTGAGAGCTTGTGTGACCAGATTTGCCACCTCATATTTAACTTTAAGGAGTTTATTTGAAAATAAAATTGGGCTTAGAGCAATGTTTGCTTCTGAGGAATGGCAGAGAAGTCAATATTGTAAGAAGGGAGATGGTGTAAAAGTGATGGATATTATACTAGCTGACCAAAATTTTTGGGGATCAATCAAGTATTGCTTGAAGTGTGTGTTGCCATTGGTGAAGGTGTTGAGGCTTGTAGATGGGGATCTAAAGCCTGCCATGGGGTATATTTATGAGGCAATGGACAAGGCAAAGGAACAAATCCAAAAGAATTTTCGTAATGTGAAGAAGCACTATGAGCCCATATGGACTATTGTTGACACTAGATGGAACATGCAATTACACAGACCTCTTCATGCAGCTGCCTATTATCTCAATCCCGCGTAAGACTTAATTTTCTCAATTTTTATATCATTTTATATCTATATATTGTATGCTGATCAATGATCATTGTAAATCAAAATAATTATTTCAGGTTTCATTACACCGGTAGTGCGGACTATGAGATAAAGATGGGACTATATCAGACTATTCAGAGAATGTGCCCAAGTCCTATTATGAGAGAAAAAGTTGATAAACAATTAGATATCTTTCATAATGCTGATTTGATGTTTGGAATGGACATGGCAATCCAAATGAGGAAGAAGAAACAACCTGGTTAGTGGTAACTTAACTTAAGTTAGTTATTTGAATGTAACTGCTTAAGTTAGTTAATAGAGTATTCTATTGTAATTTTTTATAGCCTTGTGGTGGGAATCATTTGGAGGATGTTGTCCAGAGTTGCAACAACTTGCTATCCGCGTCCTTAGCTTGACTTGTAGTGCCACTGGATGTGAGAGGAATTGGAGTACATTTGACCAGGTGCACTCTAAGAGGAGAAATCGATTAGAGCAACAAAGATTAAGTGCACTTGTGTTTGTGAAGTACAATCTTCGATTGGAGGCAAGACACCAAAAGAGAATACTAGAGGGTGATTCCTATGATCCTATTTCTCTCTCAGATATGGAATCTGATGATGAGTGGATCACTGAAAAAGAAGATGCACTCCTTCCTGAGGACACTACTTGGATGAATGTTGGTGAATGTTTTGAAGTTCAAGAAGGGACTAGCAAAAAGAGAAAGAGAGGTAATTAAAATGTAGTGGTTGTTTTTTCTTCTTCTCCATTACTTTGAATTTTATTTTTTTTATATTTTGTATTGGTTGCTTTGTAGGGCCTAGAAATCTTACTTTATACAAGAAAAAAGGAAAGCAAATAGTTCAACTTGAAGATGAGGATGAGGATGAGGATGAGGATGAGGATGAGGATGAGGATGAACAAATACAAGAAGTTGAAGATGATAAAGGAAGTGAAGACTTGTTGGCATCCGATCACAATGATGATGATGATGATGCATTTTCAATTGAAATTGAAGATTGAGTTCAAAATGGATGTTAGAAATTTGGATTAGAAGTCTCTTTGGTGTTTAAAGTTTGAATTAGTGAACTATGGTTGTGAACTTTGCATTATAATAATAGTGGATTATGTTGATAACTTGAATAGTTGGTGGAGTATTAATGAAATGCTATATTTTTTATGAGTGTATGACTTTTTTTCAAAGGTATATATATTTTTTTATTATTTATTTAAAATTGCATCGTATCTTACGATACACGATACGATACAATATTTGTATCTTACGATACGCCTTCCGATACACGATTTGATAACTTTGCCGATGGGTACTAGACTATTTGCCGGGTAAACTAGCATATAATCTTTTGTCCTTTTCAGGTACTTGAGAATATGTTTTACCGTAGTCCAATGTTCTTGCCCAGGGTTAGACTGATATCTCCTAACCATGCCAACGGCAAAACAGATATCAAATCTAATGCAAAGCATAGAATACATGAGATTTTCCACTGCCGGAGCATAAGGAATTGCCTTCATGCTCTCTATCTCCTCAGGTGTCTTAGGACATTGCTCCTTTGACAGAGAAACTCTATGTCTGAAAGGAAGAAATCTCTTCTTGAAATTTTGCATGCTAAAACGGGCTAGAATGGTATCGATATAGGTAGTTTGAGATAAGTCTATCATCCTATCTTTGCGATTTCGCATAAGCTTGATCCCAAGGATGTGACCAGCCCCTCCTAGATCTTTCATAGATAACCATACCCTAACAGAAGATAACACCCCCACATTGTTTTCGATGAGCAAAATATCATCCACGTAAAATACTAGGAACACGATCATATTTTTGTCATGCCTTTTATACACACTGGACTCATCAGGGCATTGATTAAAACCATAAGATTTAATAGTCTGATCAAAATGAATGTTTCAAGATCTAGATGCCAGCTTAAGTCCATAAATGGATCTCTTAAGCTTGCACACTAGATGCTCTTGACCCTTTGCTACAAATTCATCTGCTTGTACCATATAGATACACTTGTTAAGATTCCCGTTAAGGAACGCTGTCTTGACGTTCATTTGCCAAATCTCATAATCGAAATAAACTACAATGGATAAGAGAATCTGGATCGACTTCAGCATACCTACCGGCAAAAAAGTCTCCGTATAATCGATTCCCTCTTTCTGAGTAAACACTTTTGTAACAAGTCTTGGCTTATATTTTTCTACCTTACCGTCTGATCCTCTCTTTCTCTTATAGACCCACTTGCATCTAGTGGGTTTTATCCCATTGAGTGGCTTTACAAGTTCCCAGACTTGATTGGAGTACATGGACTCCATCTCAGATATCATAGTCATTTGCCAAAGTTCTGCATCTTTATCTTGGAGTGCTTCGTTGTAGGTCTAGGAATTAGCATTTTGTTCCTCAGGAATCTTGTCAAAAGACTCTTCCAAAAACATATACCGTTCGAGTTGACGAATAACCTCCCACTACGACGAGGCTCTGCCAGTATCTATGTATTATCAGTAATATTTTGTGCAGGTGCTGCACGAGTATCGATATTTCTCCCACTACGACGAATCAATATGATATCGTCTACTCTTACATGTGATGCCTCTCTTTGTACAATTGGTATTGAAGAAATATTTTCTGATCTATCTCCTCTTAACTCTTCGAGAACAATTCTACTCTTACACTTGTGATCCATCACATAGTCTTCCTCTAAAAATCAGGCATTGGTACTAACAATAACCTTCTGATCCTTAGGACTATAGAAAAGACCATCTTTTGTTCCTCTTGGATACCCCACGAACAAGCAGACTTCTGTTCTTGGCTCCAACTTATCCGTGTTCCCTTTCAGCACGTGTGCTGGATTCCCTCAAATCCGAATGTGCTACAAACTAGGCTTACGCCTAGTCCACAATTCTGTGGGAGTGTGGTAGGTACTGACCTAGATAGCACCAAGTTCAGAATGTATGCCACAATTTTCAAGGCATATCCCCAAACGGAATCGGGTAAAACTAAATAACTCATCATAGATTTAACCATATCCATAAGAGTCGTATTCCTTCTTTCTATCACACCATTTTGTTGTGGTGTGTGAGGTGCCGACAACTGGGATGTTATCCATACCTCTGATAAGTAATCCCTAAACTCTCCTAAGAGTTACTCACCACTACGATCTGATCGTAATATCTTGATACACTTCCCTTGACGCTTCTCCGTTTCAGCCTTAAACACTTTGAATTTCTCAAAGCATTTCAGACTTACGGCGTATTAAATAAATATACCCATACCTTGAATAATCATCAATAAAAGTAATGAAATATTCAAAGTCGCCTCTTGTTTGGACAGTCATGGGTTCACACAAATTAGAATGAACCAATTCCAACAAATCTTTTGCTCTGTAGCTCTTGGCTGTAAAGGGCTTGTTAGTCATTTTACCTTCCAAGCAAGATTCATAGACTGAAAGTGCCTTCACTTCCAATGAACTCAATGGTCCATTTGCAACCAGTTTTTGAATCCTCCTTAACTAAATATGACCTAGGCGTAAGTGCCAAAGATACGTTTGATTCATTTTAGAATGTTCCTTTCTCTTACATGATGAGGTACTAGTTTTATTCAATTCAGTTAATTGCAGTGTAGGTGAGATAGGATTAACAATATAAAGATCATTCACCAATGAACTAGAACAAATAAAATTCTTATTATACTTAATAACCACAGAGTCGTTCAAATAAACATTATATCCATCTCTAACTAATTTAAAAATCGAAACTAAGTTCCTTCTAATATTTGGAGCATAAAGGCAACTGGTGCCACTCCCGTAACATTGCCCATGTGAAGGTAAATCTCCTCATCAATAAATCGTCTAGTTTCCTGAAACCTGTGCAAGTATTTGCATACATAATTAGTGGCTCCAGTATCTACACACCAGGTACTGGTAGATGACATCACTAAACATGATTCAACAACAAGTAAATGAGATTTAATTGGATTGTTCATCTTAGAGAGATAGACTGGACATTGCTTCTTCCAGTGCCCTGACTGCTTGCAATGAAAACACTTGCCTTTAGGCTTTTTCACTGTAGCTTGAGGCGCTTTAATATGCTTTTGAGCCTTTTTCTTTTTCTTCTTGCCTTTCGGCTTAGAATTATAACCTTTCTCAATTACATAAACGCGATCCTATTTCTGAAACAGATCCTTAGCTGCCTAGAGTTCCTTAAGAAGTTCTGCTAATGTATAAGAACACTTATTCATATTGTAATTTAGGCAAAACTACTTAAAAGACTCTGGCAGTGACTAAAGTATGATATCAACCTGGGTTTCTTCGTCAATCTCATCTTAACTCCTAGGACCTCCAACTCATTAAAGAGATTCATTATCATCAGACAATGATCCCTTACTGGTGTCCCTTCAGCAATATTTGTGTTCATCAGTTCACTCATCGCCACTTGCTTAGCCGCACGACTTTGATCCCCAAACATATTTTGAGGCTCACAATCATGTCATAGGCAGTGGCTATAGACTCGTGCTGATGTTGCAACACATTTAACACAGATGTCAGAATGTAACCGCGCTATCTCAGCCGCCTTTATCCATCTCCAATAATTCAGGACATCCTTTTTGGTTGTTCCATCATCAGGTTCATCTGGATAGAGTTCACTAAGCACAAATTTGTACTCATCAGCAGTCAACACAATGTCCAAATTTCTTTTCCATTGTATATAGTTTGATCCATCTAATTTGTGTTCTTTAAGTATAACAGAAAGAGGATTGAAAGAATCACCAATTTTAAAAATTAAAAAAAAATTATGACTGTCAAAATAAAACATTGAATTTAAATTTAAATTTTGGTTCCTTCTACCAATATTTAAATGAATTCACCAGCAGCACTGTGAATAGCATGCCTCGATAGGGGAAGACATATACTATCCATCATTTGTCCAGACAGGCCATTGTCTATTAATTTTACTATCTAGCCATTATACCATGACAAGTATAATTAAATAGCTGGTTTAGCTTTAGTCCTATAAATAATAGTAGTGACTCAGATAGAGAGGATACTATTATTTATAGTTAAGTGTATACCATTACTTAAGTTTGTGTCAATAGTTTTGTATTGAAGTCCCTTCAGATAGAGAAGTGAGCTCATACTAACAATTACCCAAAATTATCCCTATAGGAAGTTTATATCGGTGATTCTGTAATTAATTTCATTTGATAGAGAGGAAGGCATTAAGGCCAACACGCAAAATTAATTACATCACCTACAAACCAATAATGGAGACCATGAGATTTATACAAGATAAACTCCCTCTCCCACTTAGTTATTTAATATTTAGTGAGGGTTTTCAAAATCATATTTAATTTGTATTAGCTTAAAATAAGGATATTTTCCATTATAAAGATATATGGCTTACCCCATCTTTATGTGTAGTATGGATGATAAATAAAATTTCAAATCCTCACAACTATTTAATAACTAAGTGGGAGAGGGAATTATCTTGTATAAATCCCATGGTCTCCATTACTGGTTTGCCAATCCTGCTTTGAGGATCTATGGAGTGCATGTTGATCTACCCTGGTTTCAAGCTACAGCTGGTGGTTGTTGTTAATATGGACTCTTGTTATATGCTGTTGAAGAAGAAATTGAGGGTATATCGTTCGAAAATACTGATGGAATGACTCAAAGTGAGCTACATTCACGGTAATTATATGTCCATTTGTATTCTCACAGGTGGAAAACTTGAATTGATTTATGTTTACACACATGCATATGTGGTAAATAGGTGTCCACTGAAGCATCCTTAATAATAAGAAAAATAAAACATTATGTTTTTGTTCCATGCTTTGTTGATCTGTAGATTGGATCTAAAGAAGACAGGTTATTTGAGTAATGTAGTCCAAGCCACTCTTGTTGAGATAGGAGTGGAATCTGTAGGACAGGATCCCATATGCAACCCATCTTAAGTTTGAAATAAGTGGCTTATGGAAAGAAGCAGATTGTCATTAATCAGCTAGTTGGGTGTCGTGTAGCAGGTTATGTTTTGGCACCTTGGTGCTGGTCCTGTCCTTATATTGGTAAGGGTGGTTATGTTTACCTAAAACGTAAACACAGTCCAAACCCAATACGAAGTTTGCGGGTTAGAGTTGACAAGTTCTCTACACGAACCAGTTGACATGATTGATAAACGGCTTGGGTTAGTATCAAACACGAATAACTCATTTTTTACACAACAAACTTGTTTAAATGCGATTGTATGATGAAAATTTCTGATTTTTTCATTTCTTCACCAAGTATTGTATGAATTCTTGTAGCATAAAGGGATTTTCAGCATAATTTTGTTGCACTGAAGATCAAGTGGTGGTGTGGTTTTCAGTGGGACTATGGGTGGTAAGTTTAGTTGAGAGAAAAAAGGGTGGTAGTTTTAAATTTCTTGTCCACAAGTTATCATTCAACCCAAAGACGGCACAATTAATTTACAAGTTGTGTTAGTGTTGGGATATCTGACATAGTTTCTTAAATGGGTCGGATTAAGGTTAATTAGTACTCGACGCAAATCCAAAATGACATGACTAGAACACTAAACGATACGATTCGTTTGCCACCCCTAAATGTTGGATTTAATCACTAGAACACTATCAGGCCCCAAAATGTTTCCTGTTTGGTCAGTCGGGGAACAAAATCTTTCTTTGCAATTGGGCGCAGAGGAGAGTGTTCTTGTTGCAAAGGCATCCATCGGCAATTGCCAATCGGAAAAACGTTTCTGTTATAACCTATTATGTTACATGGGCATACAGAGTGAACTATGATGTCAAGCATGTGGTCTATGATGATATAAAATAGATGAGTACAAATTAACAAATCATCCGATGCTAAAATTCTACAAATTGACAAATCATCCGATGCTAAAGTTCTAGAATTGAGAAATCAGACAACAGGTATAAAGATATACCACCAAACGTTGGCTTGATTTGTATCTTTTTTGACTCGCACTTGGAGAGGTGCAGCGTTTGACGTTACGCACTTCTGTATTATTTACCGAAAATAGAAGGAAGAGGTACAGACACACAGTTAACATGTAGGTGGGATTAGAGTAGAATGCTAGAGACTGAAGAATAACTGAAAAAAATGTAAGTAAAATGTAATCGCACGTAGTTTTTAGTTAACTAATTTTCATGCAATCACTTTCTGTGCATAAGCACACTATAATATACATGTTTAATCTTTTGGTTTGATTTTTGGTCTCTCTCTCTCTCTCTCTCTGCCTCTTTCTCTGTCTGTCTCTGCCTCTCTCTCTCTCTCTCTCTCTCATGTGAGCGCTCGCTCGATATATATATGTACATCTATATATATATAATATGTTTGTGTGTGTCTTAAATGTATTAACTCATACTCACACTCACACACAAGCACATTGTTTTATCTACCCTTACTATAAACCCATTTTATTTGTGTCATCTAGTTGTTTCTTCATGCAGTGCTAGCAGCATTTTGAAGGAAAATTCTTTGAGGCATCGGAAAGAAGAGATACTCTTAGGCCATAACCACAGAAGCACTGAAATAAGTACGAGGCGGAAAGTTTCTGGTGGGATTTTAGATATTAACAGCTTAAAAATGCTTGCAGAGAAGAGAGATATATTTTTCCTCCTCTCTTTTCTAATTCATAACACTAAACCTGTTGTCCATCAGGTTGCTACTCTCTCTCACTTAGTGTGTGTGGGTGTTAGTGTAAAGACATAAAAAGATGCACCTTTTCTAGTGAAAAGCTGCTAGCTGTTCTCTTAAATGCTATTCTTTCTTCCTGAACATAGCTCTCTTTTCCTGCAGGATCTTGTTGGTTTGGTCATCTCAATGCTACTTTTAGGAGATTTTAGCTTAGTTTTGCTTACTCTGCTCCAGTTGTATTCAATTTCATTGGCGGACATCTTTCTGGTTTTGTTTGTTTTACCGCTCGGTATTTTTCTTCCATTCCCTGCTGGAATCAATGCACTATTCAGTCATGGACCTAGGCGATCTGCTGGGCTTGCACGTGTTTATGCTTTGTGGAATATCGCTTCTATGATTAATGTTGTAAGCTCTATGTCCCTGATGTCTTTTCCTAAATTTATTTTCTTTGTTTCTCTGATGATTTTTGACACTATTCTATGGTTTTTACTTTTTAGGGTTTTATGACCTGTGTATATGAAGAATAAATATTTCAAAAATTTACAATTCATGTGGTGATGGCTGGAATACTTATTTTATTCTCTACTATATATTTTGTTAAGCAATGTAGGGGTCATTAATTGGTGCTATCTATTAGGAGAATGTTGGGTTTCATAACTAAAGGCAGCCATATTGCCAAAGTTTTTGGTCCGTCTCAGTCCACCCCTGCCAGCGGCCACAGGGATGGGAGCCAAACTGGATATTTGCTTTTTTTAACTAGCACAATCAAATTAATATCCAATTGATGTGTTTAATAGGCTTTTTATGAGTGATCAGGATTGGTGGAAATGGTACTTTGTTTTTTTTTATTATGTTTATTTTATTTTGCTTTGTATGCATTGATTTGTGAATAGTACAGTAATCCCAATCAGGTGGTTGCTTTCGTTTGCGGGTATATTCACTACAGTGGCCAGCCAAGTAGAAAACTACCAAACTTTCAGCCATGGAACATGTGAGAAGAATTTTCAAGCTTTATCAAAGTTTAGCTATTCAAGAATTTAGGAATTTCTTAACTGCTAACTGATGGCCTTAACCTTTTTTCTTGTGATTGGTGTGGCTGCAGGGATGAAAGTGAATGGTGGATTTTTCCTGTTGCACTGGTGGTTTGTAAATGTATCCAATCCCAGCTCATCAATTGGCATGTTGCGAATTTGGAGATTCAAGATCGCTCATTGTATAGTAACGACTTTGATCTATTCTGGCAATCATGATATGTGTCAAGCAGATATCTTCCCGTTTAACCTTTTTCACTGTAATATGCCACCCCCCCCCCCCCCCCCCCCCCCAAGGAAAAAAAAACTTGTTTTGCTTTTCATTTCATAATGTTTTTCTTTTTGCTACATTTTTGAGAATAGGCAAATGATGGACAAAGAAGTACAGAGAATGAAGAAAAAAAAGAAAGAAATGATTTGAGAGGCATTCATGCAGTTATAATTTTATTTCCGATGTAAATATAAGTGAGGTGTGCCCATGGTATAGAAATCTGTATAATTTTTATTTTTTTCTTGCTGATTTTCTCTACTTGGTTTTTCATGACATTTAATCCATTTATCATCATTTTCTTGTGGCATCGAACTGCACTTTTAGATGTGATGTACTCAAATTTACGTAGTTGTGAGCGCTTATATATAAGCTCATTTTCATTGGCTACTTTTGTGCTGTAGCTGGCAAGCTAAACATATACAGGAAAATTGAACCAGTGGTGCATTTGATTATTGCAGTGTAATTTATTGATGCCTTTCAGGTGACATCTCATCCTTCTTAAGATCCTTTGTACGGCGCCCAAGTATGCTGGATCCTGTAGATTTCTGCACTTGAGGTGGGCAGCTGTGTGACAACACTACAAACACAGGCGTTTTGTGTAACATATTATGGACTTGACGCCCTTATGAGGTAGTGATGAGTTTCAAGCGCTCTAGCCTGGCCTGCACATGGTTAGGAATGGTACCAACCACCCTACCCTACCACGTATGGGTGGCCTGCCATCTTACGGCTGCCTGAAAAGGAACTGCAGTGAATTCCGAACTGAGCATCTAAGTACAGAACCTCTGGCCATTGTCAACTGAATCTGGGGTACTTTGTTGCTTGAATAAATTAGCTACTGCTTACATCTTTTGCATGTGCCTTAAATAATCCTCTCTTGTGGATAGAAAGAGGGGGTGGGGGCGCTAGACACATCGAAAGTTTCAGAGTTTGTTTAAATGGCGTCTGGTTTCTGATTACTGTGATACTTTGTTGGGTAGCTCTTAGAGGCTGAAGTTTGCAAAGAGGATCTTTTTCGGGGTTCTCTTCAGGCTAGCGGAAGGCTGCCACCGTCGGAGAAATTACTGTGATTGAAGCGATGTGTGGTAGGACAATCAGCTGTTTCTCTTAAAGTACCTTGAGGTTGAGGGTTATGAGGTCACTTGGTGAACTATAAAGAAAGAGGCTTAAAAGTTACGAAAAGCAAGGTCAACATGTTAAGTTCATGTTATAAAATTGCTTGGCTGTTGATGAATTGAATTTCGTACCTAGTGGTGAGGCGTAGGTCTGTGTGAGAACCCACGGGAAGGGGGGACGACCCGTTGAATTCACACCATATACCATCAACTTGAACACATTTTTCGTGGGTTTTAATGCGAACACTCTAGAATTCAGCATTGAAAGCGTTTGCTTTACCTCTTTATGCCCTAAGACAGAATTTGAAGAAGACTGCCTCAATCTGATTCTGATTATATCGTGCGTTTTACAGCTTTGGTGGCAACACCAAATTTCAAAAATAAATATCAAGGGATTTTTCGTTGGGGGTGGGTTTTTTTTTTTATTTGGGGGGGGGGGGGGGGGGAAGGGGGGGGTTTGGGTTGGTGGAAAGGTTGTGATCAACACTGAGCGCTTGCTAATGCTGCAGTTATAGTATAATTACACAAGCCAATAAAATACTAGTCTGTACACCTCTGGAGACCTAGGCGGGTTTGTGTCAAAAAGTATTTTATCCATAATCAATTTGCTTATTAATTCATGTCTAACAAATTGTGTCATATCGGGTCATGTCGTGTATGAATCGTTTATAACTGGTATATAAATGAGTAATATTGTATGTTTCTTCTGATTGATTTTAATTTATATCCGATTTATTTATTAATTGAGTCGGATTGGGTTCACTCATTACTAAACAAGTAACTTAAAATGAAGATTTAAACTCTATTTTTGTATCGTGTTAATAGGTCATATCATATTTTGACACTCTAGACCTATACCAACAGTGTTCGAATTTCGATCCAGCCATCAGCTAACCAACAATCTTGCTCTCTATATTTTATTTTTTTTATTACAATTTTTTTTGTAGGAGAGAGTACTGGTGAGGTTCTAACTTGCGATATTACGGTTTAACAACAGATTATGGTGACCATTAGGCCAATCATTGATCCTCTCTCGCTCTTTATATTAAAAGGTGAAAATTGGGATTGAGTCTTTCTGAATGGATTTATAATGATTTAAGTCTGTCAAATAATTTATTTGACAGTAAATCTGTTTTTATCTTACAAATTTTCCTAATAAAACTTGCTAGCCAGGCCCCAAGGGCTTGCCGATGAGAATAGAATCATCAAACAAGGCGCTAACATCCGAAAAGGATCCCTGATAACAATCATTGGGAAGTTTGACTATGATCATTCTTTGTTACATGATTTATTATTAATGAGCGTGAGAAATTTTACTTACTTAAATTCACAATAAATAATTTATTGCAAAAAATCTCATTATGAGCCGTTAAGACAAGATTATGTGTATATTAAATTCTTTATAAAAAATTAATTACCAAAAAAAAATAAAAAAAACACACGAATCTAATAAAAAAATCTGCCAAGAAATTGGGTTAGAGTAGGCATTATTCGAATCAAAATAGCCATTCACAACAATAATTTGTTGAGCCCATATGAAAACCAAACCCGTACCCGTTTTGTCCTCCCCGGACGGTCACCCCAGTCTCTCTCCTCCCTCATAGCCGTAGCAGATGATCGCCGCTAGCTAGCACCAGGTGAACCATAGAGGCTGTCCCCTGTTTGATAATCTTCTACTTAGAAGCTTGTTTGGAACATTGTGATGATAACTGATGAATCTTTAGGCATCAATTGGATATCTTTTGATGGATCATTGATGAATATGTAAGCATATGAATTTGTTCCAGTTTTTGGGTGCGACGGAAACCTCAATTTGATGATTATTCATGTTAATGCCATGTTAGATTTTGTGTGGTTTTAAGCTTCGTGTGATTACTATTTGAAACAATATGGGTGCTTCATATTTTGATGGCCTCAGAATGGCGACGTTCTGGCCAAAATTTCCCATAAACTTGTTTTTTTTTTTTTTTTGGGGGGGGGGGTATCCAGGCTATTCTGGTAAATTTTTTATATTTTTCATTCCATTTCTAGAGCGTTCACGCGTACCAAACAATGGAATGGGAATGAAATCTGCATTCTGGGATGCATTTAACCAAACACTTGAATGGTACCATTCGGGGATCATTCCAACTCAGGTTTTCTCATTCCAGCTAACAAAGAACTAAGAGTTCAATACACCTTACCCTTAGGCTCAGTTTGGATGACAGAAATAAAAGACCAAGAATGAAATTCTATCATCACAGATTAGCCTCCCAGCAATACAATTTCAAATGTGATTTCATTGGTATGTTTCGTTAGAGCAGTATTTTTTCCCAAGAATTATTATAAATGATAATTTTAGCTTAATTTGTATTGTTATGTGCCAGGAAAATGAAGTTGTCACCGAACTCTTGTAGGTGTCTATTATCCATAGAGCTAGAGGAATGAATCCTGCTATCAATAATGTGTACCAAATAGAGGAA